CCTATCTCTTGATCATATACTTGAGGAATAAAACTATCTGCAAACGATATCACACTGTATTTGGTGAGATATTAGTAGTTAGTTCAGCTTATCCGACCATATAGTATATACCCTACCCCAAAAGAAAAGACAGAAAATGTAACAGTGCATTCCCTGTGGCAATTGCCGGTTGCTACCATGTGGGGTAGCTTTTGCTTAAATGGGATTTTAGTGTTTTGTTAGATCCAAATATCCTGCTTCTTTTGCAGAGGTAAACATAAAGCGCGGATTCCATAAACGTAGTAGATAGAGATTGCTCTCTACCCCACATACTAATTAGTGGTCCTGAAAACCGAAAATGAGTGCTTTTCTGGGATAAAGTAGTCCATGATGAAGCATGAAATAAATTCCTAACCCTTCAAAGCTCACAAGACCCTCTTTCTAGATTCAATTTCTTGAGGTCTTACATTCTTTATATTGGCGAATAATAAAAAGCATGAAGTCAGCATCACCCATTATAACAATGGAGCATTACAAAGATGATCATGTGTGGACAAACTAGATATACTGATGTAAGAATCAAGGAAAATTTTCACTAGGCAGGCAGAAATTCAACCAAAATACAACGTGGAATGATTATATTTGGATATGGTTGGATTTTGGGGGGTCAATTTTTTTTTAAAAAAAATTGTTCTAGACACATGGCCTGCAATATGACAATTGAAAAGGTGTATAATTAACTCATATGGAATGAATCATTACAGGATCATTCTGGTTGAATTCCATGAAACCATCCACCAAAATAAGGAACACATACGTGTACATTAGTCAACATGAGCCTTCATTTGGCTTTAGTGAGTGATTCTCGCCTGTTTGTGATCTTGCTTGTGATTCAAAACCTCTTTAGGGGGAAAAGAAAAGTTATCTTGTTGAACAAAATTCCTTTGATGCCGGAAATTGAGTAGGTGTTGTCTATTTTAACATCCTATTCAATTGCACAATACTCATAAGCTAAGAAAACTAAAACTATCACACATATCCTTGAATCTTGCTACCACAAGACTTTCTAAGCAAAAATATGTATATTTAAAATGTGGGATTGCCAAGATACAGAAAGTTGTAACATCAGAGCAAGCTGTCAGAGAATAATTGAGGTCAAAGTTAGCTTGCTTATGAATCTAATTTCATGAAAACTACTTGAAGATATCTTTTATGTAATTATTAGAGTTGAAAGTAACTATAGCTTGAAAGAGAAGTGTCAGTTGCACAGTGAGTTGAGGGGTTAGATGCTTTTGGTCCTGCTCTTGCACACACACACACTAATTGGTTCAAGATGGATAGTGTGTGGCTTATGGCTCATGTACCTGTTGCTCTCACCAAGTTGTTCTATCTTTAGTCCCCAACTATCAATAAGGAAAAGTGTGGCCCTCACTCTGCAACCAACACTGCTAGCATCTCCTTAATATAATCATCTCTTTTCTTTCCACAGATTCCAATTAAGTTACTTCTTGATTATTTGGTTTCTGTCTAATCAGTTTCAATGCAAGAAGAAAGGGTGATATCAACTGTGGGGTGAGAGAGAATGATTGCCATATCCTCAAAGGGATATTTGAATAAAATATCTTCAACATGGCTTGGCTTGTTAATACTTTTTTCTTATTAGCCCTAAATTTTAGGTGAACAACATGCCCTTTATTCATATGATTCTCTTGAATGAAATATGTAGCTAATTTTTCTTTCCTCCCATTAAATTACTTATCAAGCAGATTAATTGCATATTTCCGTTGTGGCAAACTGTGCCTAAAGTGTAAATGATCATACAGCTGAATTGAAAGTGAGAGAAAAATAATGTTATGAAAATCATAGGATGACTTACACCATAAAGAATATAGAGAGTCCAAAGTGTTAATTGGTTTATAAAAAAATTCATGTGTTGAATCTTGATATCTTGCTTTCACTAAACAAAGTGAAGATGTAATTATGGATATCTAAGTGTTAATTACTAGTACGAGATGCATTTTCTTTTTCTCCTTTTCTTTTTATTTTACTGATTAAAATATGTAAAGGTGATTGTTGGGTGGAAATGGACCATAGTAAGGCATAGATTCACTTTGGTTTTAGTAGTTAAATACGACCCAATCTTTGAAAAAGCTTTGAGCCACGTTTGATAATAATAGTAATAAAATGGAACTTCAAGCTTAGTGGGCTCAATCTAATTATAATTTCATTGTCTGTTTCTATTTATTTTTGCTGAAAATCCACTGCAAATTTCTCAATTTTTGGGGTCCAATTTATCGTTAATCACGTGAGTTTGTGGATCCTAAAATCTCATGGATTCATGTGGGCTTCAAGCTTATAACAAACTAAACTCGGTGCACCGTAAATATTCAAGGCCCGCTTATATATGTATAAAAAAAAACTAATATCAATACATGTTTCAAGCTTCTGAAAATTTGTCTTTTTTCCTGTCATTCTTGCATTTTTGCGATATAAAATGACAAACTGATATTTTAAGAGTTGGTGAGCTTACCCAAAATTTTGAGCTTTGGCATGACAAATTCTTAATGATTCATAGAATCTATTTTGTTGATAGGTTTTTATTTCAAGAAGAAAGGACTTGTATCTTTTACTTCTTCAATAACAGGACATGATGCTCCTAAAAGATGACAATCTCAACCATAATGGTCTAATTTCCCAAATTTTGTTTTGACAATAACTACACTACTAAACTCGATTAAAATTATCACTAGGACAGATTATTTATCATGATAAAAGAAAAAGATACATTTTGTTTCATTAAAAAGTACTTTCTTTTTTTTTATATTTGCAATATAACTAATGCATCCTATTGACCTTTAACGTGGTTTTGGTATAAAAGATAAATAAATAGAGGGAAGAAAAAAAAAAGTAGAAATAAAGTGAAAGTTAAAATTGTTTAAAGGAGAGAAATGGAGAGAAGAGAGAAGAATTATTTTTATTGATTTATTTAGATTAATTAAAAATTAAATTGATAAATTTCAATATATATAAATATTTTACTATTATATTATTATTTATTATATAATTGGTTATATATATATATATATATATATATATATATGCATAATCAATTATATATGTGTAAATCGACAAGAAACAACGTATTTTCAATGATGTATACAACAATTTTCGTTCGCAAATCCTCTTATTTTTGCAGAGAAGATTTTGTCCATGAGATCCATTATTTCTTCACCCTTTTCTTAATTTTTACTAAATCTTAATGATATAAATTTTAAATTAAAGATTCTTGATTATAATTTTTTTTAAGAAAATAATCTTTAAAGTCATTACATTTATGAGACATCTTCTAAAATCTAAAATATATATATATATATATATATATATATATATATATGCTAAAATAGTTTTTCAAAATTTTAATCCATTAGACTTCTTTAAATAACATCATTTTAAGTTGCACTGTTGAATATTTGACTTTTCCTTTCTTTTGGATAGAGAATCTTTGACTTGTTTAAATACGTTGAATATATATAATGAGAAAATTGTGCCTAATTTAATTATTTTCTTCCATCATGTAATAATTACATAATTTTTTATTTATATAAATTTATTGAATATGGTAACTGGAAAAAAATACCGTCATATTATTGATTTTGAACCAATTTTCTTTATTTTTTAATTTAATTAGTATGTGTCCCGTGTAATGTATGGTATTTGATTTAACATATGTTTTATAAAATAATAAATATGTTAAAAAATAAAACATTTTAGTCATTTTGTGTTATAGAATATATTTTATTTATTTTTTAAAATTATTGTTATATATTATTTTATAATAATAGAAAAAAATGATTATATAACATTTATAAATTAATGCATACAATCATAAATTTAATATATATTTTTTATCCTATTATAATTAATCTATATGTGGATAATAATATTATCTTCCACATCAAATTTTTGATAATGAAAATTTTATTATGAGATAATAGAGAAATTGTTTCATTCACATATTTTTCAATGAGTTAATTTCTACACCATGAAATGTAATATAAATTCTATGTTTCATTCTTCAACATCTATTATGTAATAAAAAAAAATACTATTTTGATGGAAAAAGATGAACACTAATCATAGTCTTAAAAAATAACTACATGAAAAAAGTACAATATACGCATGTAGTGTAATATTTGTAATGAAAGTCTAATAATTTCATTTTCCTAAAACTTAATGTATTTAAATTTGATAATAGTGTTAGAATGGATATCAAAAGTTTAATTGCTTAGAAATATTTAATATACTCTCTATTTGAAAAAATATATATGTATAAGTCATTATATTTTAAAATAATAAAAAATTAATATATAACATTAATTATTAATTAACCCTAATATAAAATCTAAATATAATCGTTGAAAACACTAAATTATAAAAGTTTGTTACAAAAATAATTTTTTTTTTGTAAAGATGGAAAAAAATTACAAAGATGATCGTAATGAAGATTGAACTTAGATCTCTATGCTTCTAATTACTACCCTAACTCCTGTCCACCCAACTACTAGGCTAACCCTAGTAATTAAAAACAAATTTTGTTTAATATATTATTTTTCAACTAATAATAATATTAATTTTGTATTTAAAATTACAAACTAAAACAATAGTTTCAAATTTTAGAAAGATAAAAAATAAATAAATTTTTATTAAAATACTAAAATTAATTTTTATTTTATTTTATAAGGATTAAAAATATAATTGAATCATAAAACAATATCAATTACTAATTTAATACCAAATCTTTCATAAATAATATATTCTAACAGAAAACATTTATTAAATATTTGATATATTTAATGATCAACATATTTAAATACATAAAACATATATATAATATTAAAAATTGTGTTTATTTAATAATTCTCTTTCATCATTTAAAAGTGACTAAAATTAAACAAGAATATTCATTTAATAGTGACTATAAATAAGTAACAGGATATATAATATTCATCATACAAGAAAGATTAGAATTCATAAAGAAACTCTTCCCAGAATGATTTTTCGCTTCAACCAACCTTTTCTCTTTGGAATTTTAGTTGTTACATTGGTTCTCGCTTCAGGTAATTGAAATTATTTTCATTCTCTGAACATATTTAACGCATAATTTACGTGAGACAATGATCATTTAATTTTTTTTTGTGGCTATTTATTAAAAAAACGAAGGCAAAAGCATATATAGTTCTATATTAATTTTATAGCAAAATTTCATTGATAAAATTGTGAACATTGTTTCAGTTGCAGGAGCAGCAATGGCACAAAAGAAATGTTTTGGGTTTTGGCTATGCAATAATGACGAAATGTGCAAGCAAGTTTGTTTTAAACAAGGTTTAACGGGTCGAAGCTTTTGTGAGAAGGGCAATTGTTGTTGTATTGGATAGACTTAAATTGTATTTGTAATTATTTCATAAAACTACAGTAAAATAATATATATGATAACTATATTTAATATTTAATTATGATTCTGTCTTATAAATTATTTTTGCTTCGATTTGAATAGTCATGTTCTTAGAAATGCGGGGCAAAGAATGAGAATTCACGTGATTAATAATTGTTCATAAATATTTTATTATTAGTAATTTTAAAAATGTATATAAAAAAAAAGTTAACTTTTACTGAGAATGATTTAACTAAACATATTTTTACTGTTTTCCTTTTCTGAAAACAGAAGACAGGTTTTTAAACTGAACATATTTTCTAAATTTTAAAATAATACATTTTAGATAAATTGAATTTGCAATTAAGAATTATATTATAATGTAATTTTTTTAGGAGATATTATAATGTAAATAATATATATATATATATATATATATATATAATAGAAAAAACTCATAATTGAATTTACAAATAGAAACTTATATATCGGACATTGATTTTTCAAGTCTAAAAAGTCTCGTAATTAAATTTGTAACAACATACTATGGTTTCTACACTTAGTAGAATCGTGCTAACTACAATAGTCATTTAAGATAAAATATTAAGTTGGATAACAAAACATACATATAAATGAAGTGATAAAAAAAATCAAATATTTATATACAAACTATAATACTATGTATATACAGTCATCCAAAATAATACTATCTTAGTGCTGGTCAAAAATCTAATCAATTACTCCAACAGTAACGCCGACACTGGGAGAAAACATTCAACGCCTCAGTAGCAATCACATCGACTCCAACCTAACCCTGACATGCTCCCATACATAGTATGATCATCGCAGTCCATCAACATGGAAACAGAGGGGTAAGCTAGAGTTCAATAAGCAACCATACAAATATAGAATAATAGTCTATACTACATATTCATCCAATCATGTCCCAAGGACTTCTATCTCACTCAATCATCAACTCACCAATCATGAAGTCAAACACCATACACTTCATCATAATAGCAATCATGCAATAAGAACAACTCATGACAGATATCAATGCATATCAATCATCTAATGCATCGCCATGCATTCACCTAGGAGATCTCCCTAACAATAGAGCAGTATAAGTGACATCTCATCCTACCAAAACCACTCCAACCATTTTCACGCCCAATGCGTCGGCTGGGTACAACAAATCAGGATATAAATCCCCACTCGTGTTTACTCGGATGATGTCACTTACAAACTTGGAAGTCTGATTCCACTGTCAGGTATAGTAAAGCTGGATATAGGCTTACCATGACCTTGACATGCATTACCAAGTCACTTGTAGAGTTCGCCCACCAACTACCTGCAAGGAAAAACACACCTTTCCCAGTACTTGGTTAAGGGAATAACCCTCAACCTCATACTCTGCTCCAACACTAGCTAAGGACTTAGAGGAGACTCACCCAAAATAGTGGCCTATCTAAGCACCACTCTCACCCAAAAACATTGGCCTATCCAAGCACTACTCTCATCTAAACTAGTGGCCTATCCAAGCACCACTCTCAAGAGACTTTATGTGAGCTCTTCTCGTTTGAAAATATTTTCCCTCTCCTTAAGTCCTAGGCTAGACACATGGGCATCACATGTAACAATGCATCATGCATCATACATGGTCAATCCACCATCATGATCAATATCATTCTCATATGAAAATACATGCCAAATCATGTTAAACATTCATATATATCATTACCAAGCATACATATGAATCAAGCACCAATTTCTATCATATATCATACATATATGAACTAGTTCTACAACATGTAAATAACTCCAACCACAGGTAACATATTCAACACATTGCATTTCCCATCATACCACGAGGCATACTCACGCTCGACGCAAGTCAATTCGCGCCCGACCTGACCCAACCCGAGAGCTATAAGACTCTTCCACGCTTGGTGTAAAATTTCCATGCCTGGCATCATTTAAACAGAGACTTCCAGGGGTCTCCACGACCGGTGCACTGTTGAGATTTCCGTTGAAATACTTTTGTTATAATTGTAAACCAGTTTAATTCTATCAACGGTCTCAAACACGACAAGTATACCGACCGTTCAAGTAGTAAAATTATCGTATCCACAGGGATTAGAAGGTAACATAAGCATTTATTGACTATTTGTGACTAAAGAATGATTCCAAATTCATAGTTTGTCATGCAAGTTGAATCAAAAGTTATGACTATTGGAATGAAAGCTATAAAAATATTTGTTTGTGAATGGACAAGGGTAAAAATGGTATTATGGTTTTTTGTGAGATTGTGGGGTCAGATTTCACCAAACGTCAGACTAATGATTCCTTAATCTCTTGTTACATACATTGCTTAGTCAACCCATAAGTTTACTCAAACATAATCCCTTAGAGCAAGAGCCTAGGTGCGGATATTGAATATCAATTCCTTGAGTACCCAATATCTACACCCGCATTACGGGCTAGGGTTTAAGACTACTAATGGGCTAAGTTTCATTCCTAGATACATCTCCCACTAGGCATTTGTTTCAGAGCTAGTTTCAATGGTTATTTTCCAACACCCAATGGAACTTATATCATGCAAAGGAGAATAAATCCAAAGCAAGCATTAAGAATAGAAACAACACAACAATGAATGAACAACATATATATATATTAACCATATATATATATATATCATTGAAAACGTAAGGATTACATTAGAATTCGTTGGTTACATCAACCCCACAAAAAAATGGGTAGAACCACTCAAAACAATGAGGGTAAATACAAAATAGAGATGAAGAGAGAAATGAAGAACCGAAGGAAAGACCCACACACGAACGGCTCCAAGCTCCGGGAATCCCTTCCACAGCTCCTAAAACGCGCCCAATGTGTGAATGAGGAGGAGAGCCCCGACAATGTCTTCAAATACGAGCTTGGGGAGTCAGATTAGGGTTTACGCGCCCGGCGCATAAGTTTCTGCGCCCGGTGTAAGGCCTTCCAGTGAGGTCAAGTATTCTCTGCCTCAGAACACGCCCAGCGCAATTCCTTTTTACGCCCGACGCAATACCTTCCAGAGAGTTTGAGGTACTCTCTATCTCGATCACGCCCGGCGGGGGTAGTCTCGCGCCCGGCGCAGGTGTGACTTGCAGAGATGGAACACTCTGTTCTTCTCAAGCTCGACGCGTGTCATCTTGCGCCCGGTGCAACCACTTTGCTCTGCTTCTTAGCTCCTTAGATTTCCAATCCTAAGGGCCTTCAATCTTCAATTCTCTAGCTCAATACCTGCACAAAAAATGAGGTGTATTAAGGTACCGTTAGCTAAATTATGGGTTAGCTATATCTGCACAGAAATTGAATCAAAAAGAGAACAATTATGTTGCAATGGTTCAAAGAATGAGTGGAATTGTTCATTAAGTCTTGTCCAAAAAGAGGTATAATTGAGACTTAACACGCACCCACCATATGCCCAACGCCATATCAGTAAAATACCATCCATAGCCACTATCTGATATCGCTTCCGGTGTAGCTCTCTTCATTCCCCGCGTGATTCGCCCAGATACTCCCATCCCAAATCGTGCCCGGCACGACTAACTTCGCACTTGGCGTGATTAAGAAATGGCTGCCTCTGATGAATGCACGCCTGACGCTAAGAACATTCGCTTAGAGCCAATTCAAACAGCAACCTCCAAAAACTCAAAAAAAAATTGCATCAAACTTGAAAATTAGAAGATCTTATCCACATGCAATCCATGAAAAACAATAAATAGACCTTATACAGTTCGAAAACAATCTCAAATTTAACATGCACCCACCCGATGCATCAAAATCACCAAAATCCCATTTTGCCCAAAACCTTGACAATGAGGAAAAACCTTCAATTCAACCATTGATTCTTGAAACTCATGCATAATTTGAGTTCCTAAACTCATGCAATCAAACAATCTACATTCTAGCTTCTTTCACCTGAAAAATTTGCCCAGGACAACCAAGAAATGAGAAGAAGAAGAATTTTCTCTGAAGCTCGACCTGTGGACTTCAATCTTCCAAAACAAGCTTCCTAGCCTGAATTCCAAGAAAAGGCAAAAGGAATTAATGATCTAAAGAAGAAGAAGAATCAAACAGAGCAATTTGGGAGAGAACGAAGCTCATGGACCCATAACCCTTCTCTTTAAAACTTTCTTTGAGATTGAGCATGTGAGGCTCTATTCTTAGAGAAAGCCTTATATACCCTTCTCTCTAGCATCCACTAAACTCTGAACCAACTTACTATGTTACAATACCCCCAACAAATACAAATTTTCGTCCTCGAAAATAGGCTTACCTGTAAACAAGAATGGATATATTCCCTGAACTGACTCTCCACCTCCCAGCTCACCTCACTAGTAGTTGCATCCCAAAGAACCTTCACCAAGTTGATGGACTTGCCCCAAAGCTCCTTCAACTTGTGATCAATCACAACTACTAGTCACTTCTCATAGGTCAAGTTCTCTCTAACTTGCACCTCATCCATCTCCACCACGTGACTCGGGTCTCTAATGTACTTCCTCAATTATGAAATATGAAACACATCATGTAGATTGGACAGAACCAGAGGTAATGCCAACTGATAAGCCATCGGACCTACACGCCAAAGGATC